CCCAGCCCCTGGCCGCCTCCGTGGCACCTGCCCCCGCCCCGGCGCTGCAGCCGGGGGCGCTGTGGGACACTGGCCCCAGTGGCCTCCGATTTTGGTCTTAGTTTTTCTATTTCCGGCCGCCCCTTTCCTTTTTTTAATTTTTTTTGCTGGCGGTGAGACAGGGGGCGGGGAGAAGCGCTGCTCGCCCAGCACCCCCAGGTAAACACACACACACTCTCGACTGTTGTAGACTCCCCTGCACCTGTCCCTGGCTGACCACCAGCCTCGGACCCTGAACTCCAGTTGCCTAGAATTTCAGTCGCTGACTTGATTCTTTTTTATATTCTTTCTTGGTTTTCCTTTGCAACCCCCAGACCCCAGGCTCGGGAGAGGCCTGGTGACGGAGCAACACATCATCTGGGGAGGGAGTTAGGAGGAGGGTTGGGAGGGCTGGAAACTTTGTTTTGTAGAGAACTATTTTTGTTTGTAATAACCGTCCCCTATGAGAAGGGACAGGAGCGACGCTGGTCACCACGGGGTGGTCATCCTATATAATAAAAGCCTAATATGCTAAGTGTCTGACCCTTCGATCGACCGGTTGCTATGACATACACTGACCACCAGGGGGCAGATGCTCCAACTGGTAGGTTAGCTTGCTGCTGGGGTCTGGCTGAGTGGGACTGGGCGTGACAGGCCAGACACACCCTGGAGCCCTCCCGCGATCCCTCCCCAGCCCCGATCATGTGCTAGTGGTGTCCCTTGGCTGGCCTGCGCCCTCTCAGATTCCGGGACCCCTCAGGGGATGTTGGAGAGCTGGTTTCAGCCCGATCCCCACAGGCCAGTCTGAGGGCCCCCACCAGTGCACGAATCCATGCACCGGGCCTCTAGTTGGTGTACAATCAGACAGAATAAAGGATCTACTCACTGCTGCCTCCAGGACCCGTTTTTTTTCTGTGTTCATCTGGGACTTAAAGGGGAGCTCACAAAATAGCCTCAAAGAAACTCCCCCACTTCCGGGGCACATCCCCCAGCACCTTCTGTGAAGGAGACCGGCAGCTGCCCTCCGCGGGCATGGCCAGCAGAGCTCTCACCGCTGGGCCAGGCCTGGCCCTGACTGTGACCCACATGTTCCCCAAACTTGGGAGGTTGCCATCCCCCTTCCACTAAAACAGTGGTTCCCAAACTTATTTGGCCTACCGCCCCCTTTTCAGAAAAAATATTACTCAGCCCCTGGAAATTATTTTTTTTTTAAATTTTAATAGCAGTTACTCATCGCCCCCAAATGCACCTGTGGCCATCACCGCCCCCCTGGATCACTGCAGCGCCCACCGGGGGGCGGTAGCGCCCACTTTGGGAATCACTGCACTAAAAGCAAGACAAAACCAGCTTATTGCACTTTGCTCAGCTGCCCGCCAGCGTCCCTGCACATGCTGGTGGTGGTCTGCTGAGAAGTCCCAGGGAAGTGCCGGCCAGCGTCCTAACAGAGCTGGACTTCCAGGCTCCAGGTCAGGAGTCAGGGTGGCCGCGCTTTCAGACCCGCCGGGCCCGAGCCTCAGGCCCTGTGTCCGCAGCTGCTGCCTCCTTCCAGAGCCCACTGTGGGCCAGAGTGTCCCGGGTGCACACAGAATCTCGGGTGGGCACAGGAGGGATGGCCAAGGGGACTGGGGGCAGTGCAGGGGGTGGGAGAGGAAGCTCTGAAGGACGAGGCCCATCAGTGGAGGCCCTTGGCTAGGGAGGGCGCCCTGTGTGTTTCCAGTCCTTGGGGGCTGCACCCAGATTTCCCTCCCCACCTACTTTCTCTCAGCCTGGGGTCCCCCAGGGCTGCCGATCTGGGCCAGACTCCTCGGTGCTCCTACAGCCCCTGCCTCACCTGCTGGTGCCCGTGGCAGCTGGCAGGGCTCCTTCCTCAAGCCCCCAAGGCCACGTGAAGACCGAGTTTAACAAACCTGGCCTTGGGAGGGGCGAGCTTACAGCTCAGTGAAGGAGAAATGGCCAGCGCATCTCCAGGCCAAAGCCCTCCCCAACACCAGCTTGCAGGGGTCGGGCCCAGCCCCGAAGGGAGGCACCTCCTGTCAGGACCCTGTGGCTTCACCTCCTTCCCGTTGACTGAGCCCAGCAGCCGGCTGAAATGAACCATGCCTGGGCGCCCTGTGCATAGCAGGGGCACGGGCCACCGTCCTGGCTTCACATACAGAGGAAGGCCTGGCGGGGCAGGCTCGGCTGGTTGGCGCCTTGTCCCCTCACACCAAGATGGCGGGTTCCATCCCGGCAGGGCACATACAAGAATCCACCCATGGCCCTGGCCGGTTTGGCTCAGTGGATAGAGTGTCAGCCTGCGGACTGAAGGGTCCCGGGTTCAATTCCAGTCAAGGGCACATGCCCGGGTTACCGGCTCCAACCCCAGTAGGGGGAGTGTAGGAGGCAGCCAATCAATGATTCTCTCTCATCATTGATGTTTCTCTCTCTCTCCCTCTTCCTCTCTGAAATCAATTAAAAATACATTAAAAATCAATAAAAACATATTTAAAATAAAAAAAGAACCCACCAATAAATGCATAAGTGGAATAACAAACCGATGTTACGCTCTCTCTCTCCCCCCCTTCCTCTCTAAAACCAATCAGGAAATACATGATTTTTTAAAATGCAAAGAAATCACAATAATTCACCCCACACCCCACACCATAGTCCTGGGTCTGGTTCCCTCGCTAGAAGCAGAACTGAGGGACTGGGCTCGTGGATGGCCCTCCACTGGGCTCTGGAGCATAAGTCACAGGTTGAGGCAAGGGGGCAGCCTCCTGTCAGCCAGCGCCCGGCCTCCTGTTGGTGTGGGGGGTACAGGGTACACCCTGGGAGAGAAGGTGTGTGAGCTGTTAACACCCAGCACAGCAGTGGGGCGGGGGCTCTTTGGGCCGAAACCAACAGCTTCTACTGCACCCCCCCCACACACACATAACCCCCTTTGTGTCACTCTGGGTGTTCAGGAGTCTCCCGCGGGGCCTGGGAGGAGAGGGTCCTCGAGTGGCCATACCTGTCCGCTCACCTCTCCCAGCCAGGCCAGCGCTGTCAGCCTCCCTCCAACCAAGCAGCCCCGTCCCCAGATGGCTCAGCCCTGACCTCAGGCGGGAGGGGTACCGGGGCATTTGGAAAACAGACATCTTCCAGAGCTGAGAGGAGGAAAACCAAGGTCACGGCCCGGCCTCGTGCACGCTGTGCCCTTGTCCCCGAGCTGCTCTGCCTCTGGTTCTGAGGTAGCGGAGGCTCCCGTTTCACAGCGTGGAAAACACAGCTACTGCCGGCTGCGCAGCACGGGAGCAGTTAGCCTTCACCTTCGCCCAGGACAGCGTTCTCAGCCTCGGCGCCATTGACATGGACGGGGCTGCATATGGGGAGGGGCCTGTCCGGTGCCTCTAGGACAGTGGTCGGCAAACTCATTAGTCAACAGAGCCAAATATCAACAGCACTTCTTCAAAATAGACTCGCCCAGGCCGAAAACCGACTTCTGCGCATGAGCCACGAAGTTTCCACTGAGCCAAACCGGTTAGAGCGAGCCACGAAGTTTCAATCGCACTGTACGTGCGCCTCCTCGTGGTATTTTGTGGAAGAGCCACACTCAAGGGGCCAAAAAGCCGCATGTGGCTCTAGGATGTTTGCAGCATCCCTGGCCTCGAGCCATTGGCTGCCAGCAGTTCCTCCTCCCCATTTGATAACCAAAAGGAGTTGCAAACTGGGAGCAAACTTGCCCCAGGTTGAGAACCACTGAGCTAGGCAGACGGAGTATCGTACCCATTTCACAGAAGGTGAAGTGGAGGCTAGGAGAGGGGACTGAACTCCCCTGAAGTCTCACTTGCTAAGAAGCAGGGGCAGGAGTTGACTCAGGACAGCCGGACTCCAGAGCCCAGAGTCTAACCCAGACCAGTGCCCCCGACAGGGGCACCCCCCCAGGGCGGGACCCAACTGCTCCTGCCCCTCCCCTCCCTGCTGCAGAGAGAGGGCCCTGGAGAGCCGGGCTTCATCGAAATGGCTGTGCTGTCAGGGGAAAGGCCTTCTCCCGGCTCCTCCAGGGCAGCCTGGCCCTACCCCACCCCCCAGTAAGCAGACTGCTGCGTCTGCAGCTCCTGCCTCCTGCCATGGCCGTCCAGTTGAGAGGCGGTTTACGGGCGCCCAGGGAGCTGTTGTTGGCATCTCCCAGCAGGTCAGCCAGGTCGGAGCAGGCAGGGATGAAGGGGGGCCCACCCCATGCCTGCACCCCTGCCGGTCCCAGCACTTCGGGCTGGGCTACTGCCCCCCCCCCCCCCCCCCCCCCATGCCCCTGGGACTCGCAGCACAACTCAGGCCAGAAGAGTTAAGGGAAAAGGCCTCTGGGAAGAAAAGCTTCACTTGCTAATTTTTCCTTTTTAAACACAAATCACGGCCATAGGGAAGTTAGAGATACAGAGGCGAGATGATCATTTTTAAATGAAAATCACCCACAATCCTCCACCAGAGCTAATAACTGTTACTATTTCTGAATTATGTCTCTAGCACGTCCCCATAAAGCACACCGCACGCAGACCAGCTCCCGCGTGCCGAGCCCCTGCGAGCCTTTGTGCTGAGGACTAACTTCTTTGTTCCGGGGATGCTGGCCGGAGCTGAGGGCAGGCTCCGTTCACATGGCCGCTGTCCTGTTGAGAACCTGGGGCTCTCGTGTCCCAGTCACAGAGCTGAGGCACCGCACCCAGAGGCCACTCCAGGTGACTTAGGCAGAAAGGCGATCACTTGCAGGATCTCAGGGTGTCCACGCACACATCAGGGAAGCTGGAGGCAGGGGAAGGCCCTGGGAAGCCACAGCAACACCCAGCACCCTGCCCAGTGGCCGGAGAGCCCCCGCCGCTGTCTCTGTGGCCCAGATGCGGCCTTATCACCACCCTCGTCCCCAGGCCTGCCTCCAGCTGGCACCTGTGCCCACCCCTACATGTCCAGCATTCCCCACTCCATCAAGGGAGGTGGACTGTCTCCCTGACCAGAGGAAGGGCATGAAGAGACAATCACAATCCAGCACAGAGAGGGGAGGCAAGTTGCCCACAGTCACACAGCCCAACAGAGGCAGAGTCCAGATGCAAATCCAGTACAGAAGCCCAAGCTTGTAACGCCGGGTTACACAGATTCCCCTTCCCCCTCTATTTTTTTTTTTTTTAGTAAGCTTGTCTTATATACACCCTTCTTCAGCCTACTTTATAACATTTAGCAAGTTATCCTGAACATCAAAGGAGATCTTTTACAATAAAAAAAGCAGGCTGCACTCCATCCTCGGGTTTCCTGCCCCCTCCTCCACCCAGAGCCCTGGCCCTGCTGGCCACAGGACTCTGGCTCCTGGCACAGATTTCTCACAGCCGGGCCCATGCGCTCTCGGGTGTGGCAGGATCTGGCCAGGCCCCCTGAGTCTCCATTGTTGTGTTCCTGGTGCCACAGTTCATGGCTGACCCGGTGCCCACATTTTTCTCTGAAAGGGTAGGTGGTCCCCAAAGCAGAAGGGATGCTGGTGAAGGGCACCTACTCTGGAGTCTGACCCCCTGGGTGACCGTGGGCAAGTGATTCAGTCTCTCTGTGCCTCGGTCTCCTCATCTGTGAAATGGGGGCATAAAAATACTACCTGTGTCACCGGGCGACGGCGAGGACTCAACAAGCGGACACGGTGGTGCCCACAACACTCCTGGCCCCTGCTGTCAACGGTGCCAGCTGCTGTCCACTTCCTCTCCCCCCAGGGGTGCAGGAGCCCACGCTCTACACCATTCAGAATGGTGGTCACAACCAGGTGGAGGGGCGTGGAGTGGCCGCTCCTATTAGTAACGTCCAGTTCTCATGCTGGGTGGCGAATTCGTTGGTGTCTTCATGGTCGGCCTTTCACCTCCCATCGGTCTGGCACACACTGTAATGTAGGCTTTATTTCACAAAAGTGGTAAGAGCTGTGGAGTGCGCGCCGGTCAGTGGCCTGAGGATCACCTGGACACACACAGGCCCCAGGTCACCCGTTTAGCCCGACTTGCTAACCTTAATTCACTGGGCTCCAGACTCACTAAATCAGAAATTCTAGGCTAGAGCCCAGGAGCGGGGGCTTTCAAAAGCTCCCCGGTGACGCCTCAAGTGCAGCGTGGGCTGAACACTCGGTCTAATGATTCTGTTCGTAGCCGTGCTGCTTGGAAACGGGCAGCCGTGTGCACAGCACCGAGCTGGGCTGCGGGGACAGCAGCCCCCAGGCCCTGTGCTCCCACCACCCGGCCACCACGGCACCATTCATGCCCTTTGTCTTGGCCAAGGTCCTGTGCAGGAGGGACAGTAACTCGGGTCCTTTAGAAATCCGTGCACAGAAACTGCCTTTACGGTGCCACACACACTGTACGTTCTATTTAAGCCGGGCTAAGTTTTCATTTCCTCCCTGAATTGTTTATTCCACAAACAACGAATGAGAGCCATACCTAGGAGGGGGTAGGGACTGCGCCTGAGCTGGGCAGGAGGGACTTTAAAATCATCATCGTTGGATGTGGTTTCAATTGTTTGTCCTTATAAGGAATAAAACTTTAAAAAAAAAAAACAAAAAAAATAAAATAAAATCATCATCGCCCTGGCCGGTTTGGCTCAGTGGATTGAGCCTCGGCCTGCGGACGGAAGGGTCCCAGGTTCGATTCCGGCCAAGGGCACATGCCAGGGTTGTGGGCTTGATCCCCAGTAGGGGGCGTGCAGGAGGCAGCCGATCAATGATTCTCTCATCATTGATGTTTCTATTTCTCTCTCCCTCTCCCTTCCTTTCTGAAATCAATAAAGAAATACATATATATTTTTTTAAAAAAATCATCGCTTCAGTTGTGACGAAGTCCTCAACCACCACAGTCCTCGTAAGGCACGAACCTCTCCCTGACGAGTTTACTGTGCCCGTAACTCAAACACGTGACTTCGCCCTCCTGGGAAGCTGTGCACGCAGCTGTCTGCTCGCTCACCCGGGGGCAGTGACAGGCAAAGTCTGACTCCACTCCCTGAAGTTTCCGCTTTCATAAACCTGGGTCCACTTCTGTGCCCAGCAGCAAGTGCCCTGACCTGGCAGCGGCGGTGCCCTGGGGGCTCCTCTCCGAGAGCCTGTGCACTT